CAGGAAAGCCAGGCTGGTGCCACAGCTCCTGACTGGTGGCTGGGATTCATCCAAAGTTTTGGAATGGGAAAGTCTCCACAGGAGGGGAGTTCTGGGAGCATCTTCTGGGGTAATTTGTTGGAGCCCTGGCTGCTGAGAACTTCAGATTTCTGTGCTGCCAGGCACTGACCCCCAGGAGAACACTGCACTGACCTGAGGCCGTGGAGAAGCTTCCAAAATGGAATGACAGAACTGGGATTGTGGGTGTGGAGTTTGGATAGAAGTGTGTGATATCACAGGGCGGGAAACTCAGAGTTTAAGGGCTTAGAATACAGTAATGGATATAAAGAAAGATGGAGGTTTGGGGTGGAGGCTCCTTCTCCTTCTCCTTCTCCTTCTCCTTCTCCTTCTCCTTCTCCTTCTCCTTCTCCTTCTCCTTCTCCTTCTCCTTCTCCTTCTTATCCTCATTTTCATCTTCATCCTCACCCTCTCTTCTTCCTCTTCTCCTTCGCCTTCTCCTTTTCCTCTTCCACTTTCCCTTTCCCTTTCCCTTTCCCTCTTTATCCCTGCATCTCCCTGGGTTTGGGTGGTTTTGTGTAATTGGATAAAAAGTCCCCATTGCAGCCACGGGTGGTTGGTTATTGGGTTAAAAGTGAAAATAATTGAGGTGTCATTTCTTAATTGGGCAGTTGATCCTTCAAATGCCTTGCAGAGAGAGAGATGGGGCTCCATTTTTAGTTTGTTGGAGTGAAGTGCTGCAGAACTCAGGGTTTGTGAGACTGGGACATAGATAAGAACTGAAAAACATCTGAGTCCCAACAAGAAATTCCGTCTCACACATTTAATCCTGACTCTGGCAGAAAAGAAACAAAGAGTCTGCAGTAATTTAGGCAGCAAGAGGGAGCAGGGCTGTGTTCCCACATTCCGATTTTCATCTGGAAAAACAGCCAATGGCCTCGTGGGCTGAGGATCCACGGATTGGCACAAGCTCAACTTCAGGATGTCCAGGGAGCCTTGAATCCCAGGATGGATTGGGCTGGAAGGGATCTTTAGGATCATCCCATTCCCACCCCTGCCATTCCCACCATCCCAGGCTGCTCCAAGCCCCATCCAGCACTGGACACTTCAGGGACCCGGGGCCATTGGCACATTTTGAGGGAATAACGCCTGGAGTGGGATTGGTTGCAAACTTCCCATTATTTTTGCTGGTCCTGAAGATGAGAGAGGAGAATAAAATGGGAATTTCCATCCCAAACACTCCTGGGCACCTCCTGCTCTGACAGACACTCAGCTGAGTGGACAGGGCACCAAAATCCCAAAGATTTGTGTGGATCCTGGAGTCCAGAAATGATCTCCCATGGGATTGTGCCATGGCAGAGAGCCTGGGGCTCCAGGACATCATTCCAGGTGTTGCTTCCAGCGGCCTCATGGAAACAAAACTTCTCTTGAGAGGAGCAGGTTTTCCTTGGCTCTGTCTGGCCCAAGGCATCCCAGGAGCCAGGCCTGGCTTAGCCATCCCTATGGGAATGCTGGGGCTGTTCCAGAACCTTCCAAGTCAAAGGGAATCTCTCCACTGACTCCAGCAAACCTTGGATCTGACCCACTCATGCAGGAGCACCCTTGTCCAAGTGGGAAAACTGTTTTCCTTGAATTCCTTGGTGTAGAACAATCCCGGAATTCCTGTTTTTTAATTTCTCCCTCCCCTCCACTTTCTAAATTTTTCTCCTTGTTTTTTCTCTCTCCTTTGGCAGCAGCTGCTCTGGAAAAGTCACAGGAGAAACACGATCAGGATGTTTTCCTCACTCGTGGCTGCCCTTGGCGTTATCCCGAGGAACTGGGCTGCTCCCTATTATCCATCATTCCCTATTTCGTGTGGAATTGTTATCAGGAGCTCCAGAATCATCAGGAAAAGGCTTTTGATTGGATTGCTGGGATTTATTTCCCTTTTTGAAGCCAGCTGGGATTGAAATCCAGACCTAAATCACGGCAGTATTCCACAGAATTCCATAGTTGGAGGAATCCAGGAGTTGTTATGGATAAACACGGAGTGGATTCTATCAGCATCCAGCAGGTGCTCAATGAACCCTCCTTGGTTCCACATTCCTCACCATTCCCACAAGGAATGTGAAGCCAAGGAAGGGTTTCCTTCCCAGATTCCCCTGGGAATTAAGAGGGATTGGGAAGGGAGATCCAACCCCCTTTGGATGCTGAGCTCGGCCCCATCAGTTGTGAAAAGGTGTTAAAGCAATTCCAGTGGGGAGTGGCCTCCTCTCCACAGGTTTTTGGGAATTCCGTGGTACTCCAGGCAGGATTTAGGATCTGGGATAAATAAATAAATAAATAAATAAATAAATAAATAAATAAATAAATAAAGCTTCCAAGGTGCCATGCACCTATTCAATCCAAAAATCCACTCATCCAGCAGATTTCTTGGAAATCATTGAGCTGCCTTGGCTTACAGTTCCTGATAATTAATGGAGTCAGGGAATTATTTATGGCAATTAAACAACACCCACAACCTCCTCTCCCTGGGATGACTTTTCAGTAGTTTATCAAAAATCAGAGATGGTTCCTTATCAAATTCTTATCCCACTGGATGAACATCCCTGGATGGGTTCAGGCTCTGGAAATGAAGAACAAATGGGTTTTTCTTATTTATCTCAGGGAGGATCTCAAATTCTCAGCTCTGCAAAGACGAATCCTGACAATTTTTAGTTTATTATAGCAATTTTCTTTGCTATAATTTTCTCCCTGAAGAAAATACTACTACTACTACTACTACTACTACTACTACTACTACTAATAATAATAATAATAATAATTTTAACAACAACAACAACTGTGCTGTATAGAATTCCAGGAGGGTTTTGGTGAGAAGGAATCTTAAACATGATCCCGTTTTACCCCTGGATGGGCAGGGACACCTTCCACTATCCCAGATTGCTCCAAGCCCCATCCAACCAGGCCTTGGACACTTCCAGGGATCCAGGGGCACCCAAAACTTCACAGGGAAGAATTCCTTCCCTATTTCCCATCTAAACCCGCCCTCCTTCAGCTTAAAGCCATTCCCACTTTTAGTCCGTGTTTACATTACAAATATTTATGGGGAAAAGAATCCAGCCCAATTCCCATCTTTACCAATCATTTCCTGGGATATTTGGTGCCATCAGACAGCTCCTTTTTGTTGGAAAAGGCAACAAAATGGTCCTTCCATTGTTCAGGGGGAATGGTGTGAATCCCCAGGGATAAATCCATTCCAGCCCATGGATCATTTTGCATTATTGTCATTTAGAGACTTCTGCAGCAGAGATTTGGAAATTTCCATCCTCTCTTTGCTCGGAGCCACGGTCATCCCAAAACATCGAGTCTTTGCCATGTTTTTTTTTTGTGGGATAGAAACCATGAGGAATTCCAGTGAAAAATCTCCCACTGTTTTGTCTCCATAATTCACTGGAGGAGGAACATTTTAACCTCCCTGAAATTAAAATGTTCTACTTTGACTTGTTGAAATAAGGCTTTGTTTGGGGTTTTTTCCTCATCAAACTCTGGTTCTCTGATGTGGTGTGGGAGAGCCGGAGACTCCGTGGGGTTTGGAATCTTGTTTCTTTTGTAGGATGAAAGTTTTATGGCCAAATTACACCTCTCATCATGCCCCAAATCAATCCCTGTGAAAGAATCCGTGCCTTAGAATGAGCACATGGGGAGAAAAGGCTTCCAGGCCGCTCATCCCACAAGATTTCCACTACAATTCCCAAAAAGCTGTGAATTCATAGGACAGTGCTATGGAACTGACTGGGAATGAAATCCCTCACACCAGAGGAGCAAAGTGAAATCTTTAGGATGTGATTTTTCAATCAGACATTGTTCATTTCGCTCGTTCCTCAGGATAATTCAATTTTACAGGAATTTTCAGTGCAGAAATAATTCAGGTAGAAAAATCCAGAGCATTTCAATCCATTGATCCTTTGGAGCACTGAGCTCCCATGAAAACTGTCAGTGCAGGAATTACATCCAGAAGTTTACAGAATCTATGGCTATGTTGTACATATTAGACATTGGATTGTCATGGAATCCTGGAATGGTTTGGGATGGACGGGACCTTAAAGCCCATCCAGTGGCACCCCTGCCATGGGCAGGGACACCTCCCACTATCCCAGGTTTCTCCAAGCCCCATCCAACATGGCCTTGGACATTTCCATGAATCCCCAGTTTCTCTGGACAATGAAATCTGTACGATTGTGTTGCACCTGGCATGAGGAGATCACAGTCCTGACTGGAAGCCACAAAAACCCCAGTGAAAAAATAATGGAATACTTGGAGAACTCAACTCTTCCCCTTTCTGGCCAAGAAGTTGCTCCTTATCCAATGAACTTCCCTTTGCACCAGGACTGGGGGTGCTTAGGCAGGAAAAATCTCCCTGGGCATGGTGGGATTTGAAGGTTGGACTTTGGAGGCTTTTCCCAAGCTTAAAGATTCCAGGATGGAATCCCAGATCTCTGGGATCACCAGAGCACTGAGTGCCACATCCAGGAATTCCTGGGACACCTCCAGGGATGGGGACTCCAAACCTCCCTGGGCAGTTCCAAGGCCTGAGCACCCTCTCCATGGGGAAATTCCTCCTGGTGTCCAACCCTGGTCCAGCCTGAGGCCGTTCCCTCTCCCCCCATTCCTGTTCCCTGGAGCAGAGCCCAATCCCTGCCTTGCTACAAACCTCCCTTCAGGGACTTGTGGAGAGTGAAATTTCCATGAAATGGGATGGAAACTCTGTCCCATATTCTGGGTCTTGGATCCTTCAGTCAGCTTTGAACGATTTGGAAGCAGTTTTCTTTTAAAGCTAAAAGATTCCTGGTCTGAGGGACGGCTACTGGAATTCAGCCTTCACTCTGGGCCGTGTGTGTGGGAGAGCAGCACAGCTGGGAATTTTCTCCAGACTTTGTGTCCCAGCCTAACTCGAGCCCCCGCCAGGCTGCCAGGAGCTCGGGAAGCAGGAAATCAGCAGCTCCAGGGAAGTTCCTCTCAGGTCACTCCATGCGGAAAGAACGGGAGGCCGGGAAGGAGGACGGGGGATCCTGGTTCCAGCAGAGCCTGGAGGGTTTCTCCTCGAGCCGTGCCAGGAGCAGGAAAAGGAGCTGGGTCTTGCTCCTGTCACAGAAGTGAGAGCACAAGGCTTGGAATCCCTACGGAATTTCTTGAGGGAAAAACCCCTGTGCACACAGAGCCGTCCGGGCCTTTTTTTAGGCGCTGGAAGTGAGACTTTCATCTGGACCAGATTTCCTCTTGGCTGGAGCTCCCGTCCAAACCTGCTGGCCAATGGCAACAAAACTCCAGCCTGACTCCACTCCTAATTGGGCTTCCTTGTTTTCCTGCTGCTGGTTGGGATCAGATTTGCAAGCGACACCCGAAATACTCCAGGACAGCAAATCCGCACAAACAGGGCCACGCTTCCCTGTGTTTGTCCAAGCCCAGGAATAATAATGATTATTACAGTAATAATAAATCCTGGCTGGTTTATAAATAGGAGCTGGAGAACCCTTTGGAATTGACTCCATATCCGTTTCCAGAGGATGGATGCAGTTTATTCTTGCTGGAAGCTAAAAATTCAGGAATATTCCTGGAGCTGCAGCAAAGGAGAGGAAAATGGGAGGAAAGGGGGGTCCTGGATGGGGGGAAATATTCTGGGGCTCTTCCAACTGCTGCTGCCATAGCTGGGAACACCTGGAAAGAGGGAATGGGGATTTGCCAGGGAAAGAGAAGGAAGGAGGGGAGCAGTGGGAGAATGAGAACCCTGAGGAGGCTTCAAGGTGATGGAATCCAAAATAAGGGAAGATAAAATTCCATAATTCCCAAACGTCTTGGTACGAGTCTGTGCATTCATCCCGTACTCCCCAATACCAGGATTCCTTCTCTTTTTAGGGGAGGGGATCTGACATGCAAACAGGGAGAAAGGAGAGATTTTTCATCCAGAGAAAAGGGAAATGCACTTGGTGAAGAAATTTTTGGGATGCGTTGGGAGCAGGGTGATGCCTCCCAGCATGGAGGAGGGCTCAGCGCAATGGGAAAGAGGAGAAGGAGGAACCTGAAGGCTCAAGGAGGAAATGGGGTAACAATCTGCAGGGCCAGAGGGTCCTGAATTCCTCTGCACTCCCACAGGTGACCCTGGTGGAAAAGGGGAGCGGTGGGATGGCTGTGGAGTCAGGAGAGTCTTGGATCCAGAAGCTTCTCCCAGGCAGGACGGGCAGAGGGCTGGAAGAGAGGCCACAGGGAAGGTCAAACCTGGAGATCTGCAACCACACCAACATCAAATGCCAGGCCATGGGATTTAATTCCCATGAAGGATCCCCTTTCCTTCCCTTTCCCAAGAAATTAGGCAGCAAATCAAACACTCCAGGACATGAAATTAGTTCCTACACAAGATCCTATCTCTTTCTGTTTCCCACCTAATTATGGAGCAAATCAAACACTCCAGGCCATGGATTTAATTCCTACACAAGATTTCCCAATTAATCATGGAGCAAATCAAACACTCCAGGCCGTGGATTTCGTTCCCACACAAGATCCCTTCTCTTTCCTTATTCAATTAATCATGGAGCAAATCAAACACTCTAGGCCAGGGATTTTGTTCCCACACAAGATTTCTTCTATTTCCTGCCTCGATTAATTATGGAGCAAATCAAACACTGCAGGCCATGGATTTATTTCCCACACAAGATTTCCCAATTAATTATGGAGCAAATAAAAAGCTCTAGGCCATGGATTTAGTTCCCATCCATGATCCCTTCTCTTTCCCTTCCCCAATTAATCATGGAGCAAATCAAACACTCCAGGCCATGGACTTAGTCCCATCCATGATCCCTTCTCTTCCCTTCCCAATTAATCATGGAGCAAATCAAACGCTCCGGGTGCTGTTTCTGGCCCCGGGGCCCAGTCCCGCGTCGTGACTCACATCCACACGCAGGAACTCTTCCCCTCCCCACCCTCCCAAGAAGAAAATGTCCAAATCCCAACTTCCCTTTGGGAATTGTCTCTGGCTCCTGCTGCCTCACGATCCAGGGATCTTCCCAAGCTGCCAGGATCCTGCTTTATTTGTAATGGATTTGTGAGCATTTCTGGGTTGGAAGGAGCTGGCTGAATCCTGAGAAGACAACCTCCCAGTTATTCCAGCTCAGAGGGGCTCCAGTGTTTCAAAAACAAGGAGTGAACGAATGGAATTGTCTTTATTCCATGGCTGGAATCCACCAAGGGCAGAGGCATTAAGAGACTCGAGCCAAATAAATGGATACTGATGGAGCAATCCTCGGACTCTTGGATAAATCTTTATTTCGGAAGTGTGTAAGAACTTCTGTCAGCTCCGTGATTCCCTTCCAGCTTCAATAAATATCCAGGCTGAAATCCCAGACTTCCTCTTTTTATTTTTTCCCCGAAAAAAATGCTTCTCTGCCTACACCCTTCATATGAAGGAAGGTAAATATTCCCATATTTATATCTGGTGGAGAAAATTCCAGGCAGCAAATTCAGGATTAGAAATTTCTGACGCTGCCCTAAAGCTTTTACTGTGTGCAAACACAGAGCGTTTAAATATGAAATAAATCTTAAATAATGATGAATGAATTATAAATTCATATTTAATATCATGGTTTTCTAAGGAAGACCAGCCTATTCTCTAGGGATCAGATAACAGTGGAGAACCTGATAAGCAGCTGGGAAAAAATGTTTGATGATGGAAAAAACATTTCCAAAGGCAGCAAGGAGTAAAGAAATCCCAGTGACCCAAAGGATCTGCAGGAAGCCAATTCTTGTGATGTCTATAACAGGGCAGAACCACAAAGCTGAATTTTTTTGGGGAATTATGAGAGATGAGAGCAGCTCAAGAGAAGCACTGAAAGATGGATTTCTTTTGGGAGAACATCCATTGATTTTTATCTCCCTGCAGCTTGAATTTCCCTGGATTAGCCGTGGGCTGGCTGACAGCTTTGTCTGAAGCTGTGTCAGACCAACCCCGGAGCTGTTCCTGGGCACAGAACCACAGGAAATATCCCGGGCAGAGCGTGGCCTCCCTGACACCCCCTCCTGAAGTCATTTATCTGATGATTAAAATCTTCATGTCCTTTACACCCCTCTCTCCCAAAAGCTCCATGGCTCGGAGCCTTCCCTTCACCAGGATTCTTGAATTTTTTGTCTTCTCCTCCACATTTTAGGAGGCTCCAAACCTTGAGGGTGGGGAGGTCCTGGAGAAGTTTTCCCACAGAAGCTGTGGCTTCTCCTGGATCCTTGCAAGTGTCCAAGGATTGGAAGGGGTTGGAACGGCCTGGGATAGTGGAATTTCCCCTTGCCCAATGAATGGGATGATCCTGAAGGTCATCTCCAATCCATTAATTGAGTCGGAATTTCATAGCACAAAACTCTTCCTCATTTTCCTGATTTTTTTCCCCCCACTGGAAATGGTTCAATTCTCCCAAGTGCTCCCAAAATTAGGGATTGACGCCCTGAACTCTCATCCTGACCAGAACTGGACACAAACACGGATCACATCCCTGACCAGAACTGGACACGAACACGGATCACATCCCGCGTGTTTCTCATGGAAAGTTTTCCCTTTGCTCGAGACCAACAGGGAATAAAACTTTACAAAATCCAGGGAAAATCAGGGAAATTTTCTGTCTTTTTTCCTTCTCTGGAAAGGCAGAGGGATTTGGGACAAGGCCTAAGGTGCCAGGACAAGAGGGAATGGCTTTAAACTGAAACAGAGTAGGGATTGATGGGATTTTGGGAAGCAATTCCTGGCTGGGAGGGTGAGGAAGGGCCAGGATGGAATCCCCAGAGCAGCTGTGGCTGCCCCTGGATCCCTGGAAGTGTCCAAGGATGGGGTTGGAGCAGCCTGGGACAGTGGGAGGTGTTCCTGCCCATGGAATGGGGTGGGACTGGATGGGTTTTGAGGTCCTTTCCAACCCAAACCATTCCAGGATTCTCTGGAGATAAGGAAGGGCTCTAAATGGGGTTCTCTGGCTCCCGAACTGACGTTTCATTTGTTGCCGGGACTTTGATCACATCCAACATTCAAAAATTGCCAGTTCCCACTCCTGATGCAGCCATTCCTCCAAATTCTTCAGAGGAGACAGGTGAAGCAAATTATGGAAGTCATGACAGTGGGGCAAAATTATTTCCTGAATTCCACAAAGCGGGACAGGAAAATACAAAAATCAGAGAACTCAGGGAAGCGCAAGGATCATCCAACTCTTATGTATCAGTTCCTCCATGGCCTAAATTCCTTTGGGGAACGGCCTTGGCATCTTCCAGTCCTTCATTTAGACCTGTGGGCACCAGCTCAGCTCCAAAGCAAAGCTGCTCCTCTATTTTCTCCTTTAACCACCCAATTCCAGTGCTCGGGAGAAGCTGAGCAGAGCAGGAAGGGAAGAGCAGCAGGAATATCCCAGAAAATCAAGCACTTGGATCTTTTTTACAGCTCTGGAGAGCAGATAATTCAAAATCCTGATATTGTCCAAGAATAAAATAATTTAAAAGGCCACTACGCCCCGAGTCCTCTGCGTCCTTGCTCCAAGTCTGGGTGTGTGTCATTCCCACCTCCCTGTTTGTCTGGAAACAACAAACTCTGGGATTGGAAAGGGATGACACGATGAGGTAGAAAACCTCAGTCCATGGGGAAAAGTCAGGGATAACTTTTAGCTGCTGGGGTGACGTGAGAGAATTTTATTAAGGAATGAATACAAAAAAACTTGGAGCAACCAGGAAGTGCACAAGGCACCAACAACAGTCCTGCAATTCCCAAACAAGGCCTGGAAAGCTCCCTGATGTTCCCAGCATGGATTAGTCACCCTGCTGGGAAGGCCTTGGCAGCTCCTCTTGATGGGCAGTCCAACAGGTGGGGCTGAGATTCCAGGGACTTGAATTCATCCGCTGCTCTGCCAACACTGGGAATATCCTTCCTGGGAAATGGGGGTGCGAGTCACACAAACGTCCAAAAAAAACCCCCAAAATTCTGTGTCCAGGGTGTGAAAAAACACCTCTGACCCTCCCTGCAGCCTGGCAAATATTCCTTCATTTCTGTGCTCATCGGGGATTTTGGCTCCCCAACTTTTTTATTATTTTGTCAAAGAATGGATGACAATTCTCATTCTTTTGGTTGAGTTCCAAATTTTTCTTTCTCTTCTTATTGCCATTTGCCAGAATCCTTTTTTTTCCCCCCTTAAACTTACTTTTAAAGATTCCATAGGACATTCCAGCAGGGAGCAACAAGAAGACAAATTCTAAAAATAGAAGGTGAACACACGGAGCCAAACTTTATTTTTTGGGAGCGGGTGTCCAAGCGGTGACTTCGTTCCCATGTTCATGCAAAGGAGACACCAAACTCGTGCAAACCAGGAAATCCTAGGGAAAAAAATGCTCTAGACAAAAAAAAGTCCCCAAAAATTGTTGGGATGGGAAATCCTTCAGGAAAACATCACTCACAACCTGTCTGTCCCCCCTAATGATGTCACGACCCCTCAATTTGCATTTTCCAGGTGTTTTGTGGCAAAGAGAGATTCCAGGAGCCAAATTTCCCTAAAACAGGAACAAGCAGGAGTGTTCACATTCCCAATCCATGTTTTGGAGGAGCATCAGGTCCCTCAGGGTCCAAAGAAGGAAATTCCAGACTCCATAGACGCAGAGTTGGAGAAGATCTCGGAGCCCAACCTTTGGATTCCCAATTCAATCCATGGAGATTGTGGAAGGAGTCAAAGGTGGAAAACCTTCTCCTCTGGTGATGGGACAGTGGGAACTCCTCAAATATCCCTGTCCTAATCCAGCCAGGAATTTTGGTTTAGGACAGATGATATTGACATTTTTCCTTCCCTCTTTGTGGTCGTGTCCATGCAGAATTCTCTGTAAATCCTTCATTTATCCAGCCAAAATCCGGGATGAACATCC